TATGTGAGCTTTTCACATCTTGTTCAGTGACCTGTTACTGTTACGTGAGAGGTGCCAGGTGTAAATAGAAGCTGATGGCAGAAGCTGTAAATGTAAACAAGCATCTTAGGAGTGAGAGATCAAGGCTATGTATCCATGTATTCAAGACCACAACGTGTCCAGAGCCATGACCACAACTATACCTACCTGTAAAAAATGTGATACTGAAGTATTCTTGTCCTTCCTCTTACCCAAAGGCTACCTGATCAGGACAGGTGAACCAGGTTGTGGAGCTCCACCCGGGCAGTTCTGTTTTCTATTTAGAATGAGACTGTCTCTCTACTGCTTGGCTTAGTATTGGACCATCAGCCCAGGATCACTGAGAACCCTCTCTCAATCACCTAGGCATCTTTGAGACATTTGAGGATGTCCAGAATAAAACTGTGTCAGGCTGACAAGAGTGGTTAATTCTGCTTCTGTCTCAGTGTAAGAGAAATGAGTCATCCCAAAAAACGTGGGCTTCATTTGGGGCACTTTGTATTGTTGTGACTTATGAAATCATCATTTGAGTGGATGTTTATGGACAAAAGAGTTGTTATTGTTAAGAATACGTGTTTATCTTCTACTAAAACTACCCTAGAAAGCCCTAAGAGAAATTGCTTATTAGTATATGTTATAAAATCGACAGGGCAGTAGCTAAAAAAGATTGAAATTACACAAACTGTGGGATTTAAGTTTCTCTTGGGTAAGCTTAGATAAAACAGAACCGGAAATACCCCAGTGGCATAGAGAGCAGAATTCTACGTGTGTTCTCTCCCTGCGCCAAATCTGTTTAGATTCACCCTTTGTGGAGGCCTTATTTAGGTCTGGCTTTACCCTGGAGTTTTGCCACACAGAACTGATTAAAAGAGATCAGAGTTGCTGGGCGCGGTGGCTCACGCCTGTAATCCCAGCACTTTGGGAGGCCGAGGCGGGTGGATCACGAGGTCAAGAGATCGAGACCATCCTGGTCAACATGGTGAAACTCCATCTCTACTAAAAAAATATACAAAAAAAAAATTAGCTGGGCATGGTGGTGCATGCCTGTAATCCCAGCTACTCAGGAGGCTGAGGCAGGAGAGTTGCCTGAACCCAGGAGGCGGAGGTTGCGGTGAGCCGAGATCGCGCCATTGCACTCCAGCCTGGGTAACAAGAGCGAAACTCCATCTCAAAAAAAAAAAATAAATAAAAGAGATCAGAGTTTTGGGTGATTAATTCTGCTGCCTTTCTAGAGCTGTTGCTCAGAATTTCCTGAAATCTAAAAGCAGATAAATGGAAAAAATAAAGTAATATTTTAGGGCCTTAATTTCTTAATTTTGTATTAAAATCAGTGCCTGCACAGATGTGCCATTTATCAACTTACTGTGTATTCTATTCCTGTAGACTCAGTAGTTGCTCACAAGCCACAAACAAGTAAATATAAACACAATAAAAGTTTTTCCAAACTACATTAAACTCTTCCTTTCTTTATTCCTCTCATCTGTCTGTATCTAGCTTTTATTGTGTACATTTTTCTTTTTCTTTTTTCTTTTTTTTTTTTGAGACGGAGTTTCGCTCTTCTTTCCCAGGCTGGAGTGCAATGGTGGGATCTCGGCTCACCGCAACCTCTGCCTCCTGGGTTCAGGCAATTCTCCTGCCTCAGCCTCCCGAGTAGCTGGGACTACAGGCACGCGCCACCATGCCCAGCTGATTTTTTGTAGTTTTTGTAGAGACGGGGTTTCACCGTGTTGACCAGGATGGTCTCGATCTCTTGACCTCGTGATCCACCCACCTTGGCCTCCCAAAGTGCTGGGATTACAGGCGTGAGCCACCACGCCCGGCCTATTGTGTACATTTTTCAAACACAAAAGTGACAGAAGAAGAAATAAACACACTGGGCCCTTTATCTACATTCTGAGAATTAGTAAACACTTAATACCAACTCCAGCGTGTTACGAGGATTAAATCACATAATGTGTTATTCCCAACACAATGCTCTGTAACATACTCTTGAGGACATAGTACCTGCTTAATAAACATTGCATTAGTGCATATGTAATTGTTGTTTTCCAAATGCAGACTTAATTGGACATTGCTGCCGTCCGTTTTCTCTATAAACTTTAAAGAGCCGGCAAAGAATGTGATACTTTAGTATGGAAGTTCTTTATTTGTACCAGAAGTATTTGTGTTGTTACAAGAGTGCTGAATGTAAGGGGACTCTGTGATGCGCCTGCTTTCTCTACTAGTGCTAATAATGAGATCGGGGGAACAACATCAGCGTTTATAGAGGACTTGTTTAAAATACCCATTCACGGACCATTTTCAAACCTGCAGAATCACATTACATAGAGTGGGGCTAAAATCACAAGTGATTTATAAGCTCTTCAATGCTTGAGAGATAATACTTAGCTAAGTGTTTATCAGCTCAGGCTTCTAATTAAGAGTACATGGCCAATTTGCAGAATCTCTACTTGTGCCCTCCCCACAGGTTTTATTTATTGTTTTGGAAAGATCTATATTGTTTTGAGGGCCTCATGTGACTCTAAGGTGAGACCAGAATCAAGTATGAGGGGTTCAGGATACATTCATGAATGTTTTACCTTTGTACTAAAGGGTGGTCACAGGGCCTGTTCTGTTTGGGTTTGGTAGGGACAGGACAGAGTGGCCCATGTTTCCATTACTTTAGCAAAAATTGCTAGTGTCTGTGGCAGGGGAGGGCACCTGAGGACAGGATAGGAGAAACTTACATCTTTATCTCCATAGAGCTGCTTATTTTTCCTGAATCTCTTCTGTTATAAAGGACAGAAATGGGTGGACTTTTTCTACAGGTCTTGGTCCTTCTGCCTGTGGGTGTCGTGGTAGCAGGTAAACAGATGGTGCTGACACCTTTAAAGGCATATTCTCAGGATGCAGGTGTAATAAGTCCAGAGAATCTCATCTAAGAAAGAATCCCAGAAAAGGAGGAGAAAGAGGAGAAAAATGACTATTTTTCAGCTAAACATGTCTCAGATTGAGAGCTATGTTCAGTCTGCCTCCTGGAATGCCATGTGTTTAGTACTTACAAACCTTTACTTCTTTTCTTGTGTTTTTCTTCCCTAATGAGTTTGTTCTAACTACTTAAAAAATTTTTTTGTTATAGTCAAGTATCTGAAAAATACTTCTTTCCTATATGCCAGAGCCTTCTCTACATCATGTCTTCTTATACGCCATGTAGAATTCTCACCATGAATTTATGATCTGCAGTGTTAAAAATGTTCCCTTTGTGGCCATTGAACATGGGAAGATGAATATACTCAAGATTCCTATGGGGGAAAAGCTGAGTTCCTTAGTGAAGAAGGAGAACATGTAATATTGAGGTTTCATCTGTGTTCTGCATTAGCTCTATGCAGAGCAGGATTAAGAAAATGCTTTTTGGGCCGGGCGTGGTGGCTCACGCCTGTAATCCCAGCACTTTGGGAGGCCGAGGTGGGTGGATCACGATGTCAAGAGATCGAGACCATCCTGGTCAACATGGTGAAACCCCATCTCTACTAAACATACAAAAATTAGCTGGGCATGGTGGTGCGTGCCTGTAATCCCAGCTACTCAGGAGGCTGAGGCAGGAGAATTGCCTGAACCCAGGAGGCGGAGGTTGCGGTGAGCCGAGATCG